ATAGTTATATAGTAAAATCATGTAAAATATAGTGATATCACAAGTGCACAGATCGCGGAAGTATGGGTATCGAACACAAGGACTGGCTATTGAGTACACTTTGTAACTATGGATTTTGGATCAAGCTAAAACAAAAGTATGATTGAGGTTGTAATGGTGAACCGAACTAGCAAGTATAACGAGGTTGTAAGCAATAAAGGAAAAGCGCTAGGTCATAGGGGCTATCGCAGAGAAGCAAGCAATGATCAATGAAACAATGATAGATTAATTGATTAGGGATATTGGGATATTAAGAACCATCTAGAACACAGATCACGAATATAAAACCATTCCACTTTCGAGGCTCCGGCTCCTTTGCTAATCTACCTAGTCGCTAAACTTTTGGTATGTCCCTAGGTGATTAGATCAAGCATTAGAATGAATAGGTTCTGATACAGTTCACTAGATATAGATAGATCAACTTTCGCAGTCTAAGAAACCTAGCTTGTCAAAGAATATGTCCGGCGAATGATACAGCACTGTCGAGGCTCAAATCAACCTAAGATCGGATTACTAGATGCGCGGTAAAGCAATCAGCATTAGTTAAGTGCACAAGACGAGACAAAGACTCTAATATAATCCCTAGCTAATCATTGAAATCAAAGATCATGCAAGCAACTCATTGAATAGTAACCCTAGCAACCTAACTAGTGGATTACTCAGACATGATCAAAGCAAACACACATAGAGATGAAGAAAACATGATTGCAATAAAACTTAGAGTAGGAAATCGAAATACAAGGGCGGCTCTCTTTTCAAGAGGCTAAAAATCCATATATATAGTGCTAGGTCTTTCTAGAGGCGGCTTAGGGTTAAGCCGGGCTTGAAAACATAAGTTTGGGCTTCAAAACGGGCTTCGGGTCGACCGCGGCGTTGGGACGGTCGTGCGGGACGATCGGCCGGACAATCGGGTCGTGGCCGAGTCGGAACGGTCGGGGTCGGACGGATTCACGGTCGGCGGCGTGGTCGAGCGGATGAGATTTTGGCCGATGAAATCTCTCGGCCGGACGCGAGGCGTTACTCCCCGGGTCGGACGGAGCGTTCGTGCGCGGTACGTGAAGCGAGTTGCGCGGCCGCGAGGCGTTACTTCCCGGCTCGCGCGGCTGATCGTGCGCGGCATGGCGTGGCGGTGTGGCGTGGCCGACCGCGGGCTTGAGTTTCCCGGGTCGTGATGCGTGATCGGCCGGTGGTTTTGGAACTTTGGCCGAGACTTCAGACGGACGGATGACTTTGGCCGAGCGCGGAACATTCGTTCCTCGGCCAGCCGGACTGCGCGGTTGGGCGCTGTCTCTCGATAGAGCCGTCTGGACAGTCTTCACTCTTTTGGTTAACTCCTTTTCTACTCATCCAAATGATGCCATTCCAGTTGCGTTGGAAAGTTAACTCAATCAGAGCACGCAGGGAACTGGTCTTGATGAAATCCATTGAGTAGATCTTTTTCTGGGCCCTCTTAAAGTTGGTGCTTGTGCATGGAGCTGCTTGAAGTGCAAATCCTATGGTTTTGCTCCAAAATGCATCATTTCACCTGTTTAGACTCTAGACACTATAAACACAGTAAAACTACCTTTTTAGATAGAAAACCTGCCAAAAACCATTAGAAAACAATGCTAAAACAGTATAAAAAGTGGGTAAATTAGAGGTATATCAACTCCCCCAGACTTAGATCTTTGCTTGTCCTCCAAGCAAAAAGAATCTAAATCCGTGAAAGAGGTTTGAAAACGTGGAAGCTCCCTTGCTCTTTTGAATATCCTGTGAAAGGTTCCTTTCCTGTATTCCACTATGAACATAGACAACATAAGGTTAGCTTCACATACACCCTGCAAGTTTAGCGAACAATACCAACCCAACTAGTCTCATCCAGCAATCCAAACTCTCTATTGCTAACCTCTTGCATAAATTTAAAGCGTGAATTCTTTATCAAGGGGACATCGATCAATTGAACTTGTTCTTACCCACTTGATCCTCTCCAAGATTGCCTCTTTAAGTGCAATGAGTCTTTTCCTCTCTCTTTCTCACATCAGAACTTTGAAAGGTCAATTTATCCCTACTTTTCTAGGGTATCATTTTATTTTTTCTATTGACCCTTCTTTCAACCACAGGATAAGTCTTTAGCTTGTTCCTTGTTTGACTAAGGTATTCCATAAGACATGAAGGTACAGACATATGCATTCCTCATGCTTACTTGTTGTCCTTGTGCTCTTTGAGCTTTTTCTCATAAATATCACTTACCATTTGGGATGGGAGAGAGAGGAGAACTCTTTAAAGATTAGACAAATCTTATTGAAAATCAAGCAAGGAACTGTCGACATGTATGCCAACCCCCTTGACAAGAGTAATTAAGATTGATTAAGTGTGAGGTTAACTCTAGATTGCTTGGTTACCTTAGAAATTTTGCTGAGCTAGCATGTCGATCCACTGTAAGAGCTTCTGTTAGGCTTGTGCCTTTAGCTGGTTTCTGCTCTAGGGTCATGGATTGTTAGCATAACACTCTCAATTCTCAAAGCAAGTTCATAACTTCCGGACTGGTTTTTGACTCAATAAAACTTTTTGAAAAACATGAAACAAAGTGAATAAAACATAAGAAAAGAAAGAAAAATGCATTAGTAACACAATAAAACTCCCCCCAGACTTAACTTGCACCGTCCCGGTGAAAGCAAATCACATTAAGGTGAGAGGTAATATTCAAAGTAAAAGAAAAATAAAGAAAAATTCATTAAAATAGATAGGGATAGAAAATGGAGATTTGTAAGTGTCCATTGCACTAAGTACCACTTGAGATGACTATGTGTGGCAGTGAGAAGAACTCTCTTCCTCATCTATGGGGTCATCGCCTTCTGAACCAAGCTCTGAGTCTAGTGAGAACTCACCAAGGTCAGGCTCATATGGCTCTCTAGCGGTGGAAGAAGGGCGAAAGAGTCTCTCCGGTGCAATGTGGCGAACTACGCGGACTAGGCGCGAGATGAAGCGAGATTGGCATTCCACTATCTTCTCCAGCTTGTTAACACGGTCTAGAGCTTGGTGCGCAGCCATGCCAGTAGTGAGAACATGGCGTTCTTGGAGGCGGCGTTGAGTCTTGACAGCATGCTGAAGTGTGCGATAGGTGAGCATGGGGAATGATGGTTTCTCACTTGATGGAACATAGAACTCTTCCTCATTGGGCTGGAAAGTGACAACTCCTGAGCGTAGGCTTGGGATGTCTTCATGTGGCAGCAAGACAAGGGAAGTGTTGGCTGGACCAATTGGAAACTCATAGCAAAACCGAGTTGGGTCTTTAGTCCAACGGTTTAGGAAGTGGATGTGCTGAAGAGCATGGAGATCCAAAGGGGTTGGCTTGGGTAGTGGCTCATAGTTGGGAATGTCAATCCCCACATGCAGTACTATGGCCGTGATAAGCCTCCCAAAACGAACACAAAGCTTCTTGTTGCCTTCCAAGTCTTTAGCTAGCTTCCTCACATTGATGAATGTCTTGGCAAGTAAAAGACCAAGGTTGGCCTTGTACTCATGCTTGATGAATGGTGTGGTGAGGATGTAGAACTCATCAGTTGTGACCTTGTTGGCTTCTTGTTTGCATTGGAAAGTGGTGGAGATGAGGCGGTGCACATAGCGAATGGCTGGATGGTGATTCTAGACACCTTTGACCTTGAAGGCAAGAATGGTTCATTGGCAAAGTGTGTCCAATCAGCAAAGGCAGCTTGTTTCCTCTTTGAGTTCTCCTTGAAGTCATGTGGCTGTCTCATTGGGAAGTCCAAAGAGTTGGCATAGAGCTGAGATAGAGATGCGCCCATCAGCATCACCTATCTTGAAGAGTAGGAGTCCATCACCAGCTGGTTGGTCTCCATTGTGGTTGGGAAAGGCAGAGCTACTGTAGAGAGGAACTCCTTGGTGAGTTGTGAGTACTCACTACATTCTAGCTTGAAGAGCTTGCTCAAGCCTAGCCTCCTTATGTACCATGTGACATCATCTCTTATCTTGAAAAGATCAAGGGTTTGGGTGTCCATCTTCACACATGGCTCGATGTTCACCTTCTCCATTGCCTTCTTACACTTTCTTGGGTCTTGATTTTGTTCTCCAACAAAAGTTACAAGTGCCCGATCATCTTCTCCTCCTCTTGGGCTCTCCACATGTTCTTTACTTGCATCAATGGAATGTGGGGAAGTTGGTATTTCTGCTCTTGCATTGGAGCTACTACTCCCTAGCTTGATTTGCTTCTTTGGTGGTTGCATGAATGGGTTCTTCTTCTTCTTCATACTCTCATTTCCTTTTGTCTTTGCCATTGTGTACCTTGGCCTAGAAAAGTTTTGGGCCGATGGCCGATGGATTTTGTCGCGGTCGAGCGATTTGGTCGGCCAAATTGTTTGGACGAGAGATTTCGGCCGAGGCCGAGCTTTGTTTCCCGGATCGACCGCACGGTCGGTCCGTTCCGATACAAAATCGGCCGATCGCGGCCTATTCTTTCCCGGTTCGTGCGTGCCGCGCGAACGGTTTCTGTCGCGCAATAGATAATCCGGCCGAGCACGAGCTATTCCTTCCCGGCTCGACCGTAACGGTCGGCCAGTTGGAATTGCTCGGCCAAAATTCCTTTTGCGCGTCCGCGGCCAATGTTTTGGCGCGGATTGTGTTTTCACACCTTTTTCTCCTTCTATCCTATCTTAAAACAAAGAAAACACAAAAGCAAAACAAAAACTAAGAAAATTAAAGAAAGAAAAGTAAAAGTACCTCATGGGTTGCCTCCCATGCAGCGCTTGTTTTAAGTCTTTAGCTTGACTGTAAGGCTTGGCGCTCAGGAGAAGATGGAGACAAGAGGCATCTTGATCCTCCAAGTCTTTTCTCCTTGCAATGAGTATCTGGTGGGTGATTCACAGCTGGATAGACAATCTCTCCATGAATGTCCCTTGGCACTACTGCCTTAGGAAAAAGCTTTAGAGTTCTTGTCACTTTCTCCTTGAATCCTTCTAGATTCTCATCAATAAGCTCCTTTGGGAATAGAAGCTTCATGTTGCGGCCAGACCTAGGTTTTCTAACCTTCCTTCTTGGCTTGGCCTCATCTTCAATCTTGGTTGATCCCTTGGGCGGTTTTGGTGTAGGGGCCTTAGTCTTACTCCTTGCTTGTTTGGCAAGCTGCTTGGGCTTAGGAATGGGATCTTCCTTGATTGTTTCTTCAGTTTCTCCTTCTTGGGGTGGCTTCAAAGTAACTTTCTCCTCTTGGACCATGTCAACAAAAGAGTTCTTTGTTGAACACATAGGGAAGAACATACCCTTGTTCACCTTGTTGAAAGAGATTCTTTGATTGGGGAAATCAAATATGGCACCCACAGTAGACAGGAAAGGGGTTCCAAATATGAGAGGTCTATGGCTACTCTCTCTCATTTCCACAATCTGGAAATCAGTGGGGATAGAGCAATTTCCAATCTGCACCATCACATTAGGCACAAAGCCATAGGGGTTTGTGAGAATGAATCAGCATAGTTGATGGAGATGGATGATGGCTCTATCTTGGTGAGGCCTATCTTGTCAGCTATCCTCTTAGACATGATGTTCACATTGGCTCCTGTGTCACACAAAGATTGCTCAAGAATGTTACCTTTGATGATACAAGGCACACAAACTTTCCTGAGTTATCTGTCTTGGGGATAATCTTTGGGAAGAGTCTTCTCTTTCTAGCTCGATTGGACTCTCTCTCTGGGTAATTCTCTTCAGGCCAAATCATGCAATCAACAGTAGGTTTTGAAAGCATCCATTCTGGAACTTGGTCTTCAAATCTTTCTTCTATGGCGGCTGAGTTGCAAAAGGACTTCTTGGATTCAGCTTCCTGTCTCTTAACAGCTTCCATAGTTTGAGTGACTTGAGTCTCTAGTTTCTTCACATGAGTGGCAACAGCATCATACTTGGTGTTGAGATTGCTGAACAAAGTGTCCATCTTCTCATACATCTCTTTAGTGTTTCTCTTCTGGCCATCCATGATCTGTTGGAGGATTCCTTCAAATCTTCCACCTTGTTGGTTTGGAGGAGCTTGATTTGGTGAAGAAGCATATGGCTCCTTGGGCGGATATGATGATCTCTGCTCATATCCTTGCCTTGGCTGAAATTGACTTCCTTGAGATTGGTAAGGAGGTCTTTGTTGTTGTGGATACCTTGGAGGATACACTTGGTCTTGAGGATTCTCCACATTGGGGTTTCTATAAGACATGTTGGGGTTTGGGCGATAGCTTGGATTGTATCCCTTGTTCCCATAGTTTCCAATGTAGTTCACATCTTCTTCATTGGCTTCATTAGAGAAATCTCCCATGCATTCTCTTGATGTCTTCATTAGCATCACTCATCCCTTCTATTGCATTGATATGCTTGAGCTGTCCCTTAAGAACTTGAGCCATCATGTTCTTGAGTTCAGTCATTTGAAAAGAATCAGGGGAGCTAGTAGTGGTGCGGCTTGAGCGGTCATAATCAGGACAGTTGTTACAATCACTAGCTGCAAGATTCTCAATAAGAACCTTAGCTTCATCAACAGTCTTGGTCATGAAGTTTCCATTGCTTGCAGTATCCAATGAAAGCTTGTACTTGTGGTCTATGCCACGATAGAAGATGTTCCATAGGTTTCCCTCATTGAAACCATGATTAGGGCAGTCCCTAATGTACTCCTTGAATCGATCTAGCGCCTCATAGAAAGATTCATTGTTGCTTGGCGAAAGTGGAGATCTTGTTCCTCACAGAAATTGATCTTTGCTTGGTGTAGAAGTGGTTGATGAAAGCAGCCTTGTACTCATCCCAAGTGGTAATGGAGTGAGCTGGCAGAGACTTCAACCATCTTGAAGCTTTGTCGCCAAGAGAGAATGAAAAGAGCTTGCACTTCAAGGTAGTCAGCAGAGACTCCATTGGATCTTGTAGTGCTGCAAATTTCTTCAAAGTTTTCTATGTGATCAAGAGGGTGCTCAGCTGGAAGTCCATTGAATTGGTTCTGTCTAACCAATGCTATGATCTGAGGCTTGATCTCATAGTCATTCCTTGCAGGAAGTGGTGGATGGATAGGGTTTCTATCCATGAAGAAAGCATCGGCAGAGTCATAGTCTCCGATTGTAGGTGCTCCAGCTTGAGGTTGTGCATTCACATCTCCAGCAGGGTCTTGTGGATTAGGAGGAGGAGGAGGTGGATCTCTTCCTTCTTCTTGAGCGCGCGCCACTTCAGCGGCGTGAGCGCGAGCTGCTTCGTCGGCCATCTCTTGGGCTTTTGCTTCCTAAGTTGCTTCTCAAGCTTGTCTATCTCTGGATGTTCAACTAGGTTGTCCTTGTTGGACCTCCTAGTCATGCACCTGAAAAGAGTCTTGGAAACAAGTTAAATCAAAAGGGAAAAACAAAAACAAAAGCAAAAATCAAAGAAAAGGAAATCAAAAACTGAAAATTCAAAAGCAAAAGAAAAGTAAAACAGGAAAAGGTTCTAGACTAGATCCTAGTCGAGTTCCAAAGGTACTGCTGCAGTCCCCGGCAACGGCGCCAAAAACTTGATGCGGAGTCAGGTTTTACCAAACTCCTAGACCTCTGCAAGTGCACAGATCGCGGAAGTATGGGTATCGAACACAAGGACTGGCTATTGAGTACACTTTGTAACTATGGATTTTGGATCAAGCTAAAACAAAAGTATGATTGAGGTTGTAATGGTGAACCGAACTAGCAAGTATAACGAGGTTGTAAGCAATAAAGGAAAAGCGCTAGGTCATAGGGGCTATCGCAGAGAAGCAAGCAATGATCAATGAAACAATGATAGATTAATTGATTAGGGATATTGGGATATTAAGAACCATCTAGAACACAGATCACGAATATAAAACCATTCCACTTTCGAGGCTCCGGCTCCTTTGCTAATCTACCTAGTCGCTAAACTTTTGGTATGTCCCTAGGTGATTAGATCAAGCATTAGAATGAATAGGTTCTGATACAGTTCACTAGATATAGATAGATCAACTTTCGCAGTCTAAGAAACCTAGCTTGTCAAAGAATATGTCCGGCGAATGATACAGCACTGTCGAGGCTCAAATCAACCTAAGATCGGATTACTAGATGCGCGGTAAAGCAATCAGCATTAGTTAAGTGCACAAGACGAGACAAAGACTCTAATATAATCCCTAGCTAATCATTGAAATCAAAGATCATGCAAGCAACTCATTGAATAGTAACCCTAGCAACCTAACTAGTGGATTACTCAGACATGATCAAAGCAAACACACATAGAGATGAAGAAAACATGATTGCAATAAAACTTAGAGTAGGAAATCGAAATACAGGGCGGCTCTCTTTCTCAAGAGGCTAAAAATCCATATATATAGTGCTAGGTCTTTCTAGAGGCGGCTAGGGTTAAGCCGGGCTTGAAAACATAAGTTTGGGCTTCAAAAAGGGCTTCGGGTCGACCGCGGCGTTGGGACGGTCGTGCGGGACGATCGGCCGGACAATCGGGTCGTGGCCGAGTCGGAACGGTCGGGGTCGGACGGATTCACGGTCGGTCGGCGTGGTCGAGCGGATAGATTTGGCCGATGAAATCTCTCGGCCGGACGCGGGACGTTCTCCCGGGTCGGACGGAGCGTTCGTGCGCGGTACGTGAAGAGTTGCGCGGCCGCGAGGCTTTACTTCCCGGCTCGCGCGCTTTGGTCGTGCGCGGTGAGCGTGGCGTTGGCCGACCGCGGGCTTGTTTCCCGGGTCGTGATGCGTGATCGGCCGACGGTTTTGGACTTTGGCCGAGACTTCAGTCGGACGGAGACTTTGGCCGAGCGCGGAACATCGTTCCTCGGCCAGCCGGACTGCGCGGTTTGGGCGCTGTTCTCTCGATAGAGCCGTCTGGACAGTCTCCACTCTTTTGGTTATAACTCCTTTTCTACTCATCCAAATGAGCCATTCCAATTGCGTTGGAAAGTTAACTCAATCAGAGCACGCAGGGAACTGGTCTTGATGAAATCCATTGAGTAGATCTTTTTCTGGGCCCTCTTAAAGTTGGTGCTTGTGCATGGAGCTGCTTGAAGTGCAAATCCTATGGTTTTGCTCCAAAATGCATCATTTCACCTGTTTAGACTCTAGACACTATAAACACAGTAAAACTACCTTTTTAGATAGAAAACCTGCCAAAAACCATTAGAAAACAATGCTAAAACAGTATAAAAAGTGGGTAAATTAGAGGTATATCAGATCTCAGAAACAGGGGGTTAGCCAGTGAGAATCAAGCCTTGGAGGCCATAGGATCATTGCTCAAACTAATCCATCCAACCCCTTAGACCTCCATTTCTAGAGCAAGAGATATTGGAGCTCTTAGTGGACCTTTTCCAACGATTTCCATCACTTCCATGTGGAGAATCGCCTAATGGACATACAAGCCAGGGGTAGTGGTCATGTAGCCTTAAGTTTGTCCAAAAGAGAGAGATTTCTAGATTAAGACATAAGCAAGAAGGATTAAGCATAAAATCCCTAATCTATCCCATCTCAAACCCTAATGGGTAACTACTCACTACACATGAATGTAAACACAAGCAAATGCAATAAAAGAGACATCATAGAAAGAGGAGATGAAATAAACAACTTTTATTGAAATAAGCAAGTGCAAATACAAAAGAGATTATCCAGGATCTAGGATTCAAGAAGCAAGAGCTTCAAGAACACAAAGATGGGATTAGAGCTCTAAAAAGTAAAAGACAATAAAAAAAAACTAAAACAAAAGTAATCTAAAGCTTGGTGTTTTTTCGTGGCTTTTAGAGCCTTTAAATACAAGAGGATTTAGGTTTAGGGTCAAAGGAAAGTCAAGGGGGAAGCAACATTTTTCGGGTTTGACTTTGACTTCTCAGCTCGATCGAGTTGAAGCTTGGCCGGTCGAGTTGAGGAACTCGACCGGTTGGTCGAGTAGATGGTCGAGCTGGTCTTCAAGATGGCTTCCTCCTTCTTCCTTTGCGTATCCAGTTGAGCTGCGTCCATGCGCCAAGTCCCTTCCATGCTCCTCACGTCCCATATGCTCCAGAATGCTCCAAAAGACCTATTTCAAAGGACCAAACATGCATATGTATGCAAATGCAACCTAAAACTACTATGAATGCATAAGAAGAGAAAAGGAACAAGATATGATGCTAATGGATGCTAAAACTATGCAAAAGATGCATAAAAGATGTACTAAAACTATGCAAAATGCAAGTACATCAGGGGCTACTTTTCTATGTGCAAATCCTGTTTTCCACTCAAGGATGAAGCACATTGCCTTGGATTACCATTTTGTTCGAGGTCATATTCAAGTGCTATCCGAGTCGCTCATGTCGCTGATGCACTTACAAAACCTCTGTCCCGAGCTTGTTTTCTAGAATTACGTGGCAAGATTGGAGTCGCTCCAGCCCCTCCATCTTGAGGAACGTGTTAGAGATACAGTCACGGCACAATCTTCTTCCTCTTTATTACATAATATTCGAATGCTCTGTTTTAGGAAGTTCATGTAATTTCTAGAACGTTCTAACCATGTATATAAATCTCTCTTTGTATCATTAATTCAAAGATATAGAAAGAACATTCTCAACATCACGGGCCGCGTTCTGACATGAAATATACTTAAAATCGATAAGTGTGCATGATTAATCAAAAATAGACATGAACTATTCTTAATAGCCAAAATGATTTCACCAATAAACAGAAGCAACGATGAAACGAAACCAAATCAAGAATGCAGTCAAGTTTGACTTATTATTATAACTGGTCAAGAAACTTACGACTCCAAAATTTCTAATTCTCCTGCATTTATATGTTATCACTTCAATCAAGAATAAAACCATACTTCAACGGTGATTGAACATAAGAAAATAACAACAACAAAACAAACAAACCTGATACGGAACAAGAAGAACACACCGATAATGTGATCATCAATATGCATTTTCTGCATTAACAATGGATCCCGAAAACGGCAATGTCTCATCTTCTTCCACAAATTTTCCATCCTCCTCTATATTTGTGACAGACAGAAATTTAAATGACATAAGACAGTGTACTATCTAGGCTCGAATGTTTGCCATTCTCATTTGCTTCAAATCCCTTTAGCCAATTGCGACTGCATATCAAAGCTTTAACGTATTTAGGAAGTAGGTGGCTTCTGTATTTTTCAAAACTCGAGCTCCAGTGCTCAATGAGGATTCAGAAGCTACTGCTGTGATGGGTATGCTAAGCACATCACATGCCATTGAAGCTAGTTCACCCTATTGTTTTAAGTAGTCTTTCCACCAATTTAAGATGTCAATACTCTTAAAATTGTGTAAAAGAGTAAAGTCAAAACAGGGAGTAGTATTCAGCCTGAAAGATAATATCTTCATTTTACCCCCAAAAAAAATATATATCTTGCTCTCTTAAGAAGACTAATATGAAATGGCAAAGAAGTCGTGTATTTGGCTTTTTCTATAAAGACTTCTCTCTTTAATTTAAATCTGTAGCCATTCGTTTAGTAACAAAGGAAACTTGTGGCTAGTGAAGAAACCGCGTTAAAACTTGTCCCTATTGAGAGAAAAATATGAGGCTAAGACTTTTCTTCTATATATTTAATTACAAGACTTATGATGACCAAAAACACAACAAAGAAGAAAATGGGTTCGAAGTCACCAAGTATTGCTTCACTTCTGTTACCACTGCTTCTTATAATATTCACTCTTTCCTCTGAATTTGGAGTCGTTGAATCTACCGGCCGCAAACTGAGTAAGTGTCTTTTACAAAATATAGTACTAAAGTCAAAACTCTGATATGAAGCTAATGATCATCTGCTTGTCAATCTCTATTAACAAACCGTCTGTAAAATGTTCTAATATTGCTATTAACATTATACACAAAAACTACTATGTATAAACCAACCTTATTAAATAATATTAGAAGGGAACATTTATTTTTTCTTTGTTTTAGAAAGGGTCTAAAGGGGACAGTTTGTTTCTTCAAAGTTAAGCATATGACATTAAGAATTTAATATCACAAGAGAGATTGTATGGTTTGACTACCGTATTTAGAGAGAGAATTAGCAAGAAAATTCGACTATGTAAATTTTGTAAACAATTTTGTAGAAGAAATGAAATTTATGACACAGAGCCATATTTTTCAAATTGATTTAGGCTATTACGTACCACCTTCGCGCATCGTGTTCACACCAGGCTCACCTTCATGTGGATCTTCTCCAGCAAGCTCAGTGTTTTCTTCGAAGTATTGGACAAGACCATGCAGACGTGCTCGTCCTCCAGGAACTAATATCCCTCGTCCTTAAGATTCAACTATTAGTACTTCGTGTTTGTGTCTATCTACGTCAGAATTATGAAGTTGTATGGAATAAAGTGTATGTGATTTTTGGTTTTTCGATTTTGTTTCTTGTCAAAAAGTAGAATAGACGAATATTTGTCACCTACTATAAATCGATATGAAGTATGTGAAAACGCATATATGTGGCTAGGTCTATACTTTGGAGTATTGAGCAAGTATGTATGTGCATAAAAGTAACTAACACATAGAGTTTTTTAACGAGGTTCGTTTCCTATATCCCCGGGACCTAGTCCAGATCAAATCCACTAGAACAAGAGTACAATTACAATTGCATATGGTATCCAACACTACAATGCCTACCATTCTTTTCTAGATGGATTTATTATGAAGATAGATATCAACCCCGCATGATTGACTATCACCCGGCAGCACCGGAGCAACACCGCCATGTTCTAGATCTATCCACGATCTTAGAACCTCTCAACGGCTGCAATCTTCATAGGTTTCACCAAACAGATCTACAAATCTCTATAGTGGGACGACGCCACACACATGTGTGCATCTCTCAACAATACCCTAGGCGCGCCAGTTTTCTTCGTGAGACCGTCTTGGTATTTATACCTCCGATACACCGAAACCCTAATGACTCCAAGTCACGTGGGCTTTTAGTCTCTTGTTAATTAAGACAAAACCCCGCTTCTACAAAGTAAAGAACCTACGTCCTTACCTTTACTTGACAAACAAGTTTCTTCTTTAAGTCATCACCACATCAGCACTATGAACGTGCCTCTCATCTTTATGTTGTACCGCCTCATTCCATTCGCAAGCAACAACTCATAGTTCTGCAACAGCTCCTGCCACACATACAAGTCTTGTGTCATTCGCTAACATAGTTGCTTAGGTTCTGCCTTGTGTATCTTCTCAAATCAGTCAACACCACACTTTCAAGCTCTCCCTTGATGACTGACTTTTAGAGTTCAAGCACAAGCTAAAACACTTCACGTCACACCACACATCTCTTTGACTTTGTCTGAATGCATCAACCTCTAGCTCACAAGATTAACATCTTCATTCTCCCCCTTTTTAGCTTAGTTTGATACTCAAGCAATCTGTTTTGTAGACAACACAGTCACACACAAAGAATCACATAACAAGCCAATCGACCATCTGAAGAGTAATCAAGA